AAAAATCAATGGAAAAAATATCCTCAGGTGAAGGTTTAAATAAAGAAAAGAAAATATGCACTTCGTTTTCAAAATTGAGCTGTCAGCTTGTAAAAGTATATATACATTTTTGGGGGCACCCTGTATATGGAAAACCCAGATTCCTGAGCCTACCACAGGGCCTCTCTGAACCTGGATGGTCCATGAATCTCCATTTCCAGCGGGTTACTCAGTTGATTCTTATGCTGACTAAGGTCTGAAAATATGTACTTGAAAGCCATCTATCCCAAGTGTTCCTGACTCCCAAAGAGTGTGTGCTGTGCAGTGGGCTACAGTTTCTGGCAGAGATCTTAAAACAGTTGGAATTTCCTAAGTGAAAAGTGAGAAAACAAAATATTAGTTTACCTTGATTGCTATTGTCTGCAGTTGACAACCGGAATCGAACCTGGGACCCTTCAGTCTGCAGGCCGAGGCTCTATCCGCTGAGCCAAACCCGTTAAGGCATCAGTTGATTTTTATGCAGACTAAGGTCTGAAAATATGTACTTGAAAGCCATCTATCCCAAGTGTTCCTGACTCCCAAAGAGTGTGTGCTGTGCAGTGGGCTACAGTTTCTGGCAGAGATCTTAAAACAGTTGGAATTTCCTAAGTGAAAAGAGAGAAAACAAAATATTAGTTGTTTACCTTGATTGCTATTGTCTGCAGTTGACAAGGAATTTCTATAAGAAGATGAGTTCTTAAAAGAATTAGCCACTTAAGAAGGAATGAAAAGAAATATACAAGGAATTCTGGGATTTTCAGGGCAAGCATATATAACATAAGGTGGCATCTACAATGTGGTAAAAGATACAACTAAGAAAATCTTTGAGTGTAATAATATCCAATTAAAACTCCCTTCGAAATTTGAGATTAAGATCCCTCATGAACATAAATGTAAAATTGATGAACAAATTATTAGCATTCAAGTCCATCAATATATGAACAGGACCAACTTCATGATCAAGTACCTAGAAATGCAGCAATAGTGTGTCACCTGAAAATAAATGTATGGGGACATCTCGTGCCAGTCATGCTTGAGTAAGGTCAATACAGTTTCTCACTAATTACAACTAAAAACACTTAAAATATAATAACTACCTGGAGGCTCTAAAAATAAATAAGTACAAGGACACTGGAGAAGAAAGTGTGAAATTAAAAAAACAAAAAAGAGTAAGCAGTGAGTTTCTTCATTTTTCTTTATCTCCCACCTTTGACTTTAATAAGGTCAAATTGGGGAACTGTGCAGCTGGAATAAAAAGCAAAGATGCTAAGAGAAACTAGTTACAATGGCCAGAGGACAGAGAAAAGTAATTCCCACGAGTCTGGAAGTGTGTGATGGGAATCTGCATTTTCTTTTGTCTCTCTTTTTTTTTTTTTTTAGCTTGGTTCTGGCTTAAGACTTACTCATCTCAAAACCACACTGTCACAACAGTGGCAACTGTATGGACACCTATCACCCCGCCCGAGAAAAATTCATCTCTATGGATAGCAATACTTGGAAAAGCACTCCCATTTTTTTTTTTTTTTTTTTTTTATGAATAGCAACACTTGGAAAAGCACTCCCTTTTTTTTTCTTTTTTTTTTGCAAAAAGCCTGGAGGAAATCCTTTCTTTTCCTTTATCTTTTATATCACTGCTTTGCCCTTGGGTGGGCCTAGAGCAAAATTGCCTGACATCATGGAAGACTAAAACAATGAAAGAACTCCTTCATTTCTAGCCAGAGTACTAGCAAGTACTAGTAAAGGAGGTCCCAGGGGACCAGAAACATTGGGGGAGGAAATATGAAAAAGAAAAAAGCTAAAGAAGGGTAATACTCTAATTCTGTGACATAAATCCCAGAGTCCAGACTCAGGACACGTGAAAAGCACAATAAGAAGCATAATAAAGCCTTGACTGGTTTGGTTCAGTGGACAGAGCATTGGCCTGTGGACTGAAAGGTCCCAGGTTTGATAACGGTCAAGGGCATGTACCTTGGTTTCGGGCACATCCCCAGTGGGGGGTGTGCAGGAGGCAGCTGATCAATGTTTCTCATCGATGTTTCTAACTTTCTATCCCTCTCCCTTTCTCTCTGTAAAAAAACAATAAAATACTTTTTTAAAAAAGAAGAAGAGTAATAAAGTAAAACTTTACTATGATGTAGACCAGTACCTAAAACCTAAATGAACTCCAAATGGTTCATGTGAGGAGCACACCCAAACAGCATCACAAGGAGTTTGAAACTTGCACTGAAAATTGAAATTGGTCCCACTACTCACAGATGGATTTCTGGTTTGAATATAATCAGGTTGATTGCATTCTCAAACAAAATTAACATTCTCCAGAGGATTGTAATAGGACAGACTATCACAACGTTATAATCAAAGTATCCAGGGTGCAACACAAAATTACATACAAAGAACCAGGAAAATCTGACCAATTATAAGGAGGAAAGACAATCATCAGATGACAAACCTGTGAGACTGATGCATTAGGACCACCAGAGAAAAGACTTAAAAGTGGCTATGATAACAGTATTTCATGAAGCATACACATCAACACTCTTAAAATAGAGTTCTCAGTTTCTCAGTGGAGAAATAAATGCAATTGAAAAGAACCCAAGTGAAATTTTACAATTCCTGAGTCACAGCTTCCCAAACCTTTGGGATTTCCTAAGTGTTGAGAGTGATAAGTGTGTCTTTTATCACGTTATTGAGGTGACTTTTGGAAACCACCTACGGATGGGTGTTGGTTGCCAGTGGAGGCAACATTGTTATTTGAGGATTGGAATTTTCAGTTCCACACAAGCCCAACTCCAGGAGGGCTCAAGATGGAACCAGTTGTCAATGGCAGTGATGTCATCAATCATGGCTATGAAATGAAGACTATGTAAAAACCCAAGAGGAGGAGGTGTGGAGAGCTTCCAGGTGGAACACGTGGAAATGTGAGGAAAGGGCATGGGAGCTTCATGCTGCTTCCCATTTTGCTTGTGCTATGCCCCTTCCATCTGGTTGTTCCTAAGTTAGAGCCTTTTACAATAAACTAGTGACTTAGTAACATGTTTCTCTGAGTTCTGTGAGCCAGTCTAGCATATTAAACAAACCAGATGAGGGTTGTGTAAACTCTGATTTATAGCCAGTGGGGCAGAAGTACAGGTAACAACTTGTACTTTTAATTGGCATTCTGAGTTGGAGGGGGTCATTGAAACCTCGTTTATAGTCCTTGGTCAGAAGCATGGGTAAAAGCCTGGGACTATTGCTGCCATCTGAAGGGAGGGGGCAGTCTTGTGGAAAAGCACCCTTAACCTGTGAAATTGATGCTGTCTCCAGGTAGGTAGTGTCAGAAAAGAGCTGAATTCTTGGGCACCCGCTGGTGTCTGAGAATAGTTTGTTGGTGTGGAAAACTACCCTCATCCCCCGGAAAAACACACATTGAAACTGGTACCAGAACCAATATACCTTCCCTCCAAAAGTATGTTTAAGTCCTAACCTCCAGTACCTCACAATGTGACTGCATTTGGAAATAATGTAGTTGCAGATGTAATTAGTTAAGATGAAGTCATAATGGACTAGGGTCGGTCCCGAATCCAATGACTGGTGATTTTATAAGATGGTCAAATGAAGACACAGAGGCATATAGGCAAAATGCCAGGTGATGATGAAACCAGAGATTAGATTCATGCAGCTGCAAGTTAAGGAATGCCAAAAATTGCCAGCAAGTCACCAGAAGCTGGGACGCAAGAAAGGATTCCCCAAAAGGTTTAAGAGGAAGCATGACCCTAATGACACCCTGATTTTGGACTTCTAGCCTCCAGAACTTTCTTTTGTTTTAAGCCACTCTGCTTATAGTACTTATAGTAGCCCTAGGAAACTAATAAACTAGGTTTCAGGGTTCTAAGCCACATTCCTCATATGAGCAACACCACCAAAAAGGTGACATTTTAGTCTTTATTTCTTTAAAAATAGCTGCTTGCAGTTTTTCAGGACTCAGTTCAGGAAAGAAAATTTGTGATTACTCATCACTCTTAAATCTCAATTATTTTTAATGAGTGTTTTTCCCTATGTGAAAACCAAATAACAATTTTAAAAAATGTATTATTCCAAAGGGCTGAAAAGAAATACCAGCTCCATTTACATAGACCAGTAAACAGTAAATATGTGTATGCCATTATGTTTACAGTCTTCTTCAATCTTGAGCCTAATCACTTCCTTTTCAATTTATATGATGTACAAGAATTTACAATGTTGGCGTTTTTTTGGTGGATACTACACATACAAACTTTAACAAGAATTTTGTGGTACACAACTTGTGAAATCTGAAAATGAGTATATATATATATATATATGTTGTACAAAAATACTCAGAAATAAAGCAAATACATACATTGATGAGGTTTCTTAATTTACTGCTTTGACTATCCAATATATCCGAACATAAAGTGTTATTTTGCATGCTGGAGTTATCTGATCTTCATAACTGACTACTTTGTAGTACATTTTCTATACAGGATCAGAACTTCTATGATAAAGTTGTTTACATAAATAATCTTTACAACCATTATTATACTATATTAACTCTCCTTAATAAATATTATCTGATGCACAATAAGTTTGGGTTAAATGCCAGAGGCATCTCTTATTACAGTCTTCAGTCATCTGCATTCTTTGGTATGAAAATTCATTTGTTTGGAAGATATTCCAGGATTCACATTTTTTCCTGTAAAAACTGAAAATTGTATGATGACCTATCAAAACCTTTTGTGCACTCAAAAAGTTTTCATTTCTGTGTGGTGTATACTGGGATTTTTCTTAATTATTTTAGCCCTAGCCAGTTTGGCTCAGTGGATAGAGCATCAGCCTGCAGACCAAAGGGTCCCAAGTTCAATTCCAGTTAAGGGCACGTACCCTGGTTGCAGCCTCCTCCCCGGCCTGGGCCCTGGTCAGGGCTCATGCAGGGGGCAATCGATGTTTCTTTCACATCGATGTCTCTCTGTCTTTCCCTCTCTCTTCCACTCTCCCTAAAAATCAATGGAAAAATTTTCTCAGGTGAGGATTAACAAAAAAAAAAAAAGATTTTGACTTTTCAACTCATGCATACATATTGCCTTTCTCCAATGAAATATGAGGCTAAGTTGGTGGCAAATAATTTTCCTATATTCACTGCATTTAAAAGATTTCTCTCCTGATTAAGTTTTCTGAAACTTGCAGAGGTCAAAAGTAATAGAAAAATATTCCTTCACCATATTCGTAGTGTGTGTGTGTCTGTGATTTTTTTATATTCAGTGAGATTTGACATCTCACTAACATCTTCCAGCCCTTAATGTGTTTCACAGATTTTTTTTTTCTGTATGAATTTCATGTGAAGTGAGAACAAAATTGACAAAGTATTCCCACACTCATTACATAGATAAGGTTTTTGTCCTGCATGACCTCTCTGATGGACACTGCTGTATGATTTCACAAAAAAGGGCTTTCTCACACTGAGTATACTGATATGGTTTTTCTCCTGTGTGACATCTCTGATGCCTAATGAGCTGTAACTTCTAGCTGAAGGTCTCACTAGATGGAATGCCTCCATAGTATTTCTCACCACTATGGCATCGTTGATGGATAATAAGATGGCTTTTTTGGCGGAAAGCTTTTCCACATTCACTGCATCCATGGGGCCTCTCTCCTGTATGAATCAGCTGATGTGTACTGAGCATTGCCATACTGGTAAAGGCTTTTCGACACTCAAGGCAGACAAAGGGTTTCTCCCTTGTATGTGTTCTCTGATGTACAATGAGCACTGACTTTCGTACAAAAGCTTTTCCACATTCACTGCATTCATAGGGTTTCTCTCCTGTATGAGTTCTCTGATGGACAATGAGATGTGACTTGTATATAAAAGCTTTTCTACATTCAGTGCATTCATAAGGCCTTTCTCCTGTATGAATTCTCTGATGTGCTATGAAGGATGACTTATAACTAAAGGCTTTTCTACATTCCCTGCACGCAAAAGGCTTCTCTCCTGTATGAATTCTTTGATGAACAATAAGCTGTGAGTTGTCTATAAAAGCTTTCCCACATTCACTGCATTCATAGGGTTTCTCTCCCGTATGAGTTCTCTGATGGACAATGAGATGTGACCTGTCTATAAAGGCTTTTTTACATTCAGTGCATTCATAAGGTTTATCTCCTGTATGAATTCTGTGATGTGTTATGAGCGATGACTTTTTATTAAAGGCTTTCCCGCATTCCCTGCATTCATAAGGCTTCTCACCTGTATGAGTTCTTCGATGAACAATAAGATGTGAGTTGTCTATAAAAGCTTTTCCACATTCACTGCATTCATATGGCTTCTCTCCTGTATGGATTCTCTGATGTCTTATGAGGTGTGACTTTTTGTTAAAAGATTTCCCACATTCCTTACATTCGTAAGGTTTTCTTCCGGTATGATTTCTCTCATGTACAATGAGCTGTGATGCATATACAAAAGCTTTTCCACATTCACAGCATGCGTAACGTTTCTCTCCTGTGTGCGTTCTCTGATGTGTCAGGAGGTGTGAGTTTTTAGTGAAGGCTTTTCCACATTTCCTGCATTCATAGGATTTTTCTGTATGAATTCTTTGGTGAACAACAAGCTGAGACTTACTACAGAATGCCTTTCCACATTCTTTACACTCATAGGGCTTATCTCCTGTATGAGTTCGTTGATGGATAATCAGGTTTGACTTCTGCATAAAACCTTTCCCACAATCACTACACTCAAAAGGTTTCTCTCCTGTGTGTGTTCTGCAATGTAACCTGAGCTTAGTCTTCTCGCTGTAAGCTTTTCCACATTCCTTGCATTCGTAGGGTTTCTCTCCCGTGTGAGTTCTCTGGTGTATTATGAGCTTTGACTTATACCTGAAAGACTTTGGACATTCGCTGCATTCATAATGTTTCCGCTCTGTGTGAATTCTGCGATGTCTTTTAGGATTTGTCACCAGACTGAAAACCTTCACATGTAAATTTGGTTCATAGTGCTGGGGATGAATGTGAGAGGTTTCACGTAGCGTATGGAAAAATGATTTCCCAGAACCATTTAACTTATCAGAGTTCATGTCTGCATGGTTTTTAATCTGAAAATTTGAATCTGAATTTTGTTCCAAAGTTATTTCTCTTGAGATACATTTATAGGATTTTTCTTTAAATGGAACAAAGTTTTGGCTAAGAGAAAGTATTTTGCCCAATGCATAATTGTCATGATCTTTCTCCACAGGTTCATCCTTCTCGGTGTCTTCCTGATACCAATCATCAACTTGCCACATTACTTCTAGGGGGGTAAAAAAAACACAATGAATTCTACCATTATCATAACATGGAGGGTGATGAAATCTCAAGTCACTAGTCAAAGAGAATGAAGAAGTCTATATAGCAGGTGCACAAAATAAGTCTGAGGCATTCAATAAAAGAACCGGTAATACATAATGCACTGGAAAACATGGGTGTCATCAAACTTGGCAACAATCTAGGAATATTTGAAGGCGTCATATGAGTTATATGAATATAGATAAGAGGTGGAGGAGGCTGGTTGTGCCTACTAAGCTTCAGTAGAAAAACAACCAAGCAAATAAGAAAAGACCAGATGAAATAGGCAAAGATCTGACCCAGGGTAGATAAAAGAGGTGCACCTCCTAGGTGGCTAGAAAAATAGTCATATATGGAAGGGTGGTAAGAGAAGCAGGGAAAATTCATATAAAATACCTTTTTTCTCTAACCTCTAAAGGTTCAGAGACTCTGAGAAAAAAAATATTAAAATAACAAGGGTCCCGCAATAACCAAGTGTTACTTTGATTTCACTTACCTGGATTAAAATGACTTGGAAATTCTCTCCCTACTGTTCCTCGTTCTTCTCCTTTTTCCAAGTAGAACATTGCTTCTGGTTTGGTAGCTTGATAACCTATCAAGTAACCACAGAGAGCTGAGGGAAAGTCCTGTTTCAGAGAGCATATAGTTTAAATCTCAGCAAAATAGAAATTTTCATTTGGAAATAAAAGTAAGTACTGTCATTCTCTGGTCATAAAGAAAATAAGTTCTAATTTAAAATAAGTCCTATATAAGTCCAAGTTCAAAATCACTGAGAATACGAGTATCCATACATTGTAGCAATGTAGAAAAGACAGGCAATTCATGGGCCTTTGCTGAGATGTTTAGGAAAGTTGTCTTTACCCAATGACATTAGGTTGCTATGATTTTCTAACATCACATCCCGGTAGAGATTCTTCTGAGCAGTGTCTAGTAGCTGCCACTCTTCCCAGGTGAAATATACAGCCACATCACTGAACGACAATATGCCCTGTTATAACACAATCCTTTTTAGTCTGGAGTTAATATAAAAAAATGTATAAAATAATTATAGGATATTCTGATTATTTATACTATGCAAACTCATAAATATTTCTAATTCTGATTTACACTTTTGAGCTGAATTAATTAAAAACTGTCCTCCCTTTGTGCATTCTTCATTCACTTCTTTATTCATTCACCCAACATAAAAGGTTAAAACTTGGAATTACATAAAAATCATCCGCAACCACATTAGGAGCACTGAATATTACCTACTATGTGTTTTACAATAAAAACTGGAAATGAAGCAAGGCCCTATGTCATACAACTTCTAATCTATTTGGGTTCTAGGAACTGCAAATAGATCAGTGAGACAGGAGAAGCTGGTGAGAACAGATGGCTAGGTAACTAGCAGAAACTGGTCTTGGAGCAAGTGTACGTATTTCCTACAGACACTGGTAGTCACCGCAGTGCTGTTCATATGCAAAAGTATGCTATGCTCAGACCTGCCTGTTAGAAATTGATTGTGCTACATATTAAATCATATTTATAAGCAAATAGAGTTCTTACTATGTGCTGTGCATCATTCTAAACATTTTACAAATATTAACACAATGGTCTGTATAACAGCCCTTACGTAAGCTCTGTTATTATCTACGTTTTATAGGTAAGAGGCTTTTACAGTTTTTGACCTGTGCCTTTTATATCTCCTACATTTCCTTAGGAAGATAACAAGGTCTACATTCCAGATAAGAAAAATGGAAGAGGAAGACCCATCAAAGACATTTCTTCACACAATGTCAGGAAATATTTACTGATCTCAAGGAATACATGTGCTTCCTCCATATATACAAAGTAAATCTTATAACATGTTTTTATTCTCTTGTGAAGGTTTCCAGTATTACCACAGGAAAATCTGCAACTCAGTTCTGGGTCCTACTGCTGATGTGGCAATGTTCTAATTATTAGCACTTTGCAAGATTCACAGATAAACCTTCCTTCCGGATGGCTACTCTGAATCATTTATTCTGTTTCCCAATCCACGCACATGTCTCCCAGCCACAACGTGTCTATATATGTTCTCTTTGATTGTACATATTTTTAAAACTTCCAGAAATCTAGATAACAAAGTGGGAAATAACAAGCTCACCTGGGACTTAGTCATTTCAACAGCTTTCAGGAAGTGGCCACCACTTTCAGTATCTTCCCTGAAATCCAGATACTGGTGTCTCCTCAAGGGTAGCCTCTGCAGGGAGTAATTTCTGGACTTGAGATCTACCTTTTTTCATTTACAGAAGCTGCCTCGTTCTAGGAAGCCAGCATCTATGGAGTCAAGGAAAGATTTGTGTGGCGTGAAAATGATAATAAAAGCAAGTTCCTAAACAAGCAAGGAACTATTTTAAAGGATTTTTTCTCACTTAACCCTCACAATAACCCTATAAGATACAGACTATAATTATTCCACTTCAGAGAAAACCAGGAAAGAAAAGGTCAAGCACCTAGCTAAAAGCCACACAACTAGTAACTCATGGAGCAAGAATAAAACACAAACCCTCATTATCAATAAATCCTCTGATCCCAGGGTGAATTGCAAGAATCATCCTTGATCTTAACCGTTTTAAAATTAGGGAAAATATCTGGAACAACTATTTTCAGACATAGAAATCAGAGAAGAAGAGAAACAAACAAACCCTCTTTGAATGCTGGAGAGACTTTCCAGGCCGTAACACAGGGAGAAAGAACCCCCAAAAAGTCTGGCAGTCTTGTTGAGTTAATGACACAGAATTCAAAGTCTGAGGAAGCAAAGATGGTAAGTTTGCAGGCAGAACATCAGGGTAAAGGGAGAGAGAGGGAGGGAGGGAGAGAGAAAAAAAGGAGAAACTGTATATACTGATATACAGAAAGCATTATATAATGCACAGCTGACTTCATTTCAGGAATGTAAGGATAGTGTAATAAGAACCATCTCAGTAGATGAAGGAAGGGGGAGGGAGAGAGAGAAAACTGAAAACTACTTCTTTAGGTGTGCCGATGGTTCCCCTATGTCTCTGGCTAACTACTAATGAACTGTGAAGAAGCTACCAAGGCCCTAGCCGGTTTGGCTCAGTAGATAGAGCATTGGCCTTCAGACTACAGGGTCCTGCGTTCAATTCTGGTCAAGGGCACGTAGCTTGGTTGCAGGCTTCTCCCCAGCCTGGGCCCTGGTCGAGGCTTGTGCAGGAGGCAACCAATCAATGTGTTTCTCTCACATCGATGTTTCTCTCTGTCTTTCCCCCTCTCTTCCACTCTCCCTAAAAATAAGTGGAAAAATATCCTTGGGTGAGGATTAACAAAACAACAACAACAAAAAAAAACAAAAAAGAAACTACCAAGACCATTGAAAGGCCCAGAAGGCATAACAATTCCTAGAGCTCACACACGATCAGAAATAGTCTGTGTTTTCACTAGCCAGGGTGAAAAGGCCTTCTAATACATGGAGGGTGGGGTGGGGCGGGGGTTGAGGAGATTGCCTCAGTAGCAAGGGCAAAGTAACCCTACACAAAAGACTGTTTTGGCCCCACCTAACAAAGCTAAAAGAATGCCTCCAAAGAATCCAACTGAGCTGCAATATTATCAGGAGCACTGATCTTGCTCTCTTACGTCTGTCATCAGTATGGCTGAAAGAAACTCATAAAAATTCAAAAAGAATCAAACTGTTTCGAAGTAACTGAACTATGACCCAGAGCAAACATCAAAAGTAGTTAAAAGGCCCTCACCAGTTTGGCTCAGTGGATAGAGCATCGGCCTGTGGACTGAAAGGTCCCAGGTTCAATTACAGTCAAGGGCATGTACCTTGGTTGCAGGCACATCCCCAGTAGGAGGTGTGCAGGAGACAGCTGATCGATGTTTCTCTCTCATCGATGTTTCTAACTCTCTATTCTTCTCCCTTCCTCTCTGTAAAAAAATCAATAAAATATTTTTACAAAAAGCAACCAATGAATGCATAAATAAGTGGAACAAATCTGTCTCCTTCCCTTAGTTTCTCTAAAAATATCAATAAAAAAATATTTTTTTAAAAAATTACCAGACATGCAAAGAAGCAAAAGAACTTAGGAGAACAGACCTAAATTTAAGGACAATATGAGAGAGAAATTTATAGGCCAATCTCATTTATGAACTTGGCTATAAAAACCCTAAATGAAATATTAGGAAACCATATCCATTGATATATAGAAAGCATTATACAATGCACAGCTGACTTCATTTCATGAATTTAAGGATATTGTAGTAAGAACTATCTCAGTAGATGAAGAAAAGACAGGTAATAAAATAGCATACCCACTCACAATTTTTTAAAATCTTATTCAACTAGAAATAGACAAGAACTTGGTTAATTTGATAAACAGTAGCTACAAAAATTCCATACCATTACTTTAAGCTTGGGGACATGACAATGATAACCACTCTGAAAATCTTTACCCAAAAACGTACCATGTGCTCGCTTTGGCAGCACACATACAAAAATGTACCACAAATCAAACCCTGACCAGTAAAATGGGAAAAATTGAAGAAATGAAAACTGCAAAAGAACAAACAAAACTGCCACTATGGAATTGCTTTAAGATCAATACAAATATTCACTGAAATGTCATGGTCAAACACAAAAGTATTTAAAAGAAAAAAAACGCATTATTTACAATAACAAAAAAAACCTATTAGGTACCGGGAGGGAAAAATGTACAAAATGACAGTTTTCTTGTAGCAAAAGGATACAGATCCTAACCACTCTGAGAAACACAAACAGTGAGGTTTGAAAGGATCCCAAACCAGAAGCTTCCACTGTCCTTCCTACTTGGAGCCAGGACACATGTGCAACAGTATCTGTGTGTAACAGTATGCAGGCTATTCCCAACCAAAGAAGCTCACATTTCAAATGTCTATGGTATTGATTAGTTTCATTACATAAACATGATTAAATAATGACTGCCATGTGACTCATCCTCCAGCCATCCTATTCTCCTGGAGGTTGGACTGATATTACCTGGCTCAAAACCCCAAATCTCTAATCACCGTGATTGGTGTTTGGGGCATAAACAGCCCCATCTAAACTATATCTATGCACCCACCAGGTGTCACCTTAGCACAACTATCAGGTCCCACCATGAATACACAGACACTCATAACAGCACATTCCAACAATTTAGAGGCCACCTCTCAAGAACTGGGGACAAAGGCCAGCCAATTGTTAAATACAAAATAAGTAACAAAAGACTACTACTCCAGGTCCAGGCCAGGAAGCTCGGTTGGAGCATCATATCAATATGCCCAGATTCCAGGTTCAATCCTTGGTAAGGGCACAGACAAGAATCAACCAATGAATGCATAAATAAGTGGAACAACAAATCGATGTTTCTCCAATAAAAAAAATTTTTTTTAAATACTACTATTCCAAATATGTTACTGTTTCTATAAATCAGTAAAGAGCCAGGCTGGTGTAGAGCAGTGGTTGAGCGTTGACCCAGGACAGAAGAGGTCACCAGTTCAATTCTGTCAGGCCACATGCTCGGGTTGTGGGCTCCATCCCCAGTAGTGGGTGTGTGAAGGGAGCAGATGGATCTCATTGATGTTTCTATCTTTCTAGCCCTCGACCTTTCTCTCTCTCTAAAAGTCAATAAAAACATTTTAAAAATCAGTAAAGAAAAAACAAGCATCTCAAGTTTAAAATAGGCCAATGAACATGTAAAAAAATGATCAACCATGTTGATCATTGAGAGACCACAATGATGCACCTTTTATACCAAAAAGATGGTCAACAAGCCAAAATGGTGCTATCATCTTAGAAAATAAACAGAAGGATGGTATACCCACTCTCACTAAACATACAGAAAACCCTGGTATATTGTATGTGGAAGCATTACATAATAGAATGTTATTGGGTAAGTTTGATAAAACTAAATCAGAAGCCTTTGAAATATGCATTTAATGTGACCTTACTTTTATAAATTATTTAAAAAAAATATCCAGCTCTGGCCAGTGTGGTTCAGTTGTTTGGAGCTCCATCCCCGGCAACAGAAGGTTGCCAGTTCAATTCCTGGTCAGGGCATATACCTACGTTTCAGATTCAATCCATGTGCGGGAGGTAACTAATTGATATATCTCTCTGACATCGATGTTTCTCTCTCCCTTCCTCCCTTTCTAAAACCAATTTTTAAAAATCCATAAGACATTATTCAGTTTGAAAATACATTTCAGAACATTACAGATAGCTTAAAGTTAGTAAATTGAAGGTGATTCTTATTCTCTGCTTTTTATTGATGACAAGCATCTAATGATAATGTGATAAAAAGTAGCGATCTCCATTTAATTTCAAACATAAACTCACGTAGAGAACATGTAAAATACGTACTACAAAAAGTTAATACAATTATTATAAATAGAAAAACTCCCACTAAAAAGGTATATACTTGAATAGCTACTTTTTGTCAAGTACCTACCTATATTAAGAGACTTACTATTGTGCGCCACAAATCTGTATGTTGCAACACTAATCCTCAATTTGACGTTATTTGGAAATGGGCCCTTTGTGAGGTCATGGAGGTAGGGCTCCTGAGGATCTGTAAAGTAGATATGATTTAAGTGGGAAAATGAAGTCTTAGAAGTTACCCAGTCACACACACAAGTAGCAGAATTGGCATAAAACCCAAAACTAACGTGCTTTCAAGATGTGTGTACACCGACTGACACAGACGCAAAAGTGTTTACAGCACGATTTTAACAATTCATGGATCTAAATGGCAGGTATAAAGGTGGTCATTTTGCTATTCTTCTGACTTTCCTGTACGCTTGACATTTTTCGGACTAAAAAGTTGGGGAACAACAAACACCCCGATGTTTAGGACACACCCAAATGTGTGTCCACCTGAAGCCTCCTGACGTCCCAACCCCACCGACCTCTCCCGAGGGTACCCACCGGCTCCCACCCCGCACGTGGCGACGCGCCCACTCACGGCTCCCCCGGCACCGACTTCCACGAGGACCACGGCCCCCCGGATGCTGCAACTCTGGCCACGAGAACCTCAGGCGACTGACCCCCAACCCCTGTCCTCATCCACCACACCCCGCGGTCAGGGACCATCGCCACCTCCCTCTCCACGACCCAGGCGCGGAATCGTTCCAGACGCCGCCTGCAGAAATCGAACGCGACCTCGAGGGAGAATTGTGACCTCACCTGGGGGACGCGCCACTTCCGCTTTCCCTCCCCTGTTGGCTGGTGCTAGTTTCGCGCTATGACGCTGGCTCCATAACACCCTGGAAGTGAGCGATCTACCGACAAAGGCCGATTCTGGTCCCGGTGGAAAATACCCTCTAGGCAATATGGCCGCGCACAGTCCCATTACCTGGGCTGAGAGCGGCCATCTTCGACTGGGCGCCGCCATTTTGGAGTAAGCTCCGTACGGAGAGTGAGAGGGCCATTCCAGCGGCTGTTAGTTAGCCTTGTCACTGGCCGCCGAAGTCTTCCGAACAGACCCGAGAGCTAAGCCAATCACAGGCCCGGCCTCCGCAGAGAAGGGCCGCGCCCTCGTCCCCGCGCAGCCACTTTGGAAAACGCAGGGCGACGAGGCCATATTGGGAACGTTCGGGTCGTATAGTAAGGAACCGGCTGGGAGCAAAGAATCGGGGATCGTTTATGGAAAAGATACCGGTAACTCTAGTGGTTCTCAACCTTCTGGCCCTTTAAATACAGTTCCTCATGTTGTGACCCCCAACCATAAAATTATTTTCGTGGCTACTTCATAACTGTCATGTTGCTACTGTTATGAATCATCATGTAAATACCTGATATGCAGGATGGTCTTAGGCGACCCCTGTGAAAGGGTCGTTCCACCGCCAAAGGGGTCGCGACCCACAGGTTGAGAACCGCTGCAACGTGTTGGGGAAAACAAATGGGGATGAGGAGACTGGAACTGGGTGCGGAGCAGAGGTGGCAGGAGGAGAGCGTCTGTTCGTGGGCTTTGTGATGCGAGACAGCGAGGGTTTTAAGGAACCGGGGCAAAAATAATGGCAACCCCAATGCACGACAAGAAAATATTACTTTCGTCTTGTGTTGCAAGATAAACTGAGATACGTTAAAAAAAAGAAAAGAGAAAGATCCTGTGTATCCTGAATAGCCACAACCAAGTCACCAAAAATCATTCTCAGAGGATTTACAGGGAAAGGCGGTTCCGAAAAGAGCCTGAACACCTCTTACTGGGGATGTGCCCGAAACCAAGGTACATGCCCTTGACCGGAAGCGAAGCTGGGACCTCTCAGTCCGCAGCCCGACGCTCTATCCACTGAGCCAAAGCGGTTAGGGCAATGGTTCATTATTTACTATTTCCCAAATCCTTTGGTGTACACATTCAGGACATAGTCTCCAGGGTAAAAAGGTGTCTTAAAATTAAACACCTACTACATGCCGGATCATGTTGTCAGTCCTCAGATATACGAAGATAAATTGACCTGGATCTTTGTTCCTAAGGGCTCAGAGCCTGGTGTGGGAGACACATATGTAAAATCTAATACGGATAAAATAGAAGTCGTGCCATGGATGAAGGATATACATGGTATTGTGGAAACATATGTTTGGGATTCCAGCACTTAGTCATTCAGTAGTGATATGTGTAAATTTTCATTTTTATTGCAAGTTATTACATTGTTCTTCTAAATGATGGGATTAATATGTGTACCATGAGGAATGATACAACCATCTATAGAGAAAGAAGTTATTCTATATTCTCTCCTTCTCATTTCTAGTCTTACTCCTCTCTTCCCTGGGATAACCATGCATCTCAGGTGAGCAGTCATCCACAATATCCTTCCTGTGCTTACAAAATGTGTTAGTGATCAGTAATAAATATGGATTGTTTTGGCAATGAATAATAGATGCAAGATTAAGCATGGTGCTTATGTTTAGAAATTCTTCCTTATCAAACAGGTCAAGAATAAAATCATACTGGAAACATGGCATTAGGAAAATTATATACATGGCCATGTGAGATATATACCAGGAATGCAAGGACAGAAATTTTATTAAGAAATGCCACCGTATGCCCTGACCGGTTTGGCTCAGTGGATAGAGCGTCAGCCTGTGGATTTGAAGGGTCCCAGGTTCGATTCCAGTCAAAGGCAGGTACCTTGGCTGCGGGCACATTCCCAGTATGGAGGGTGCAGGAGGCAGCTGATCCATGTTTCTCATCGATGTTTCTAACTCCCTCTCCCTCTCCCTTCCTCTCTGTAAAAAAAGTCAATAAAATATATTTTTTTAAAAAAAGAAATGTCACCATATATGTTTTGATATTATGAAATTCACTTGATATATCTTAAAAGAAAATTCATATGACTATCTCCATTGGTGCTATAAAAGCCTTTGAGAAAAAAAAATCAACAGTATGATTTTTAAAAAACCACTCAAGGACATAGGAATTCATGGATACTTCCTTAGTATGATTATATATTTACATACCAGCACTTTCGCTTAAGGGGAAACATTGTAGGAACAAAGCAAGGAGAACAATTATTTCCATTAATAATTAATATTGAACTATGAGTCCATGTAATTATAGCATAGAAATTTATAAAGTAAAAATATATTTGCAGATGATATAATATAGCAAGAAACCCTAGAGGAACAATGTTAAAACCAACTCAAATAATTTAGGTGAGAAAAAACTGAAAACGACCCATGTCACCCCATTTCCCGACGGAAACGCTGACCCGGGGTTCAGGCCGCCCGCCCCCCCTCAGGATGGGCAGGGATGGTGCAGGGCGTTAAACCTTGGAGCCCGAGGCCCGAGAGGAGCTCAGTGGACGCGGTCATCTTCGGGAGTCAGTGCCACGGAAGGGAACCCGAGCAGTTGGAGGGGCGCCAGCTGTTCCCCCCGAGAATTCCGGGTGGAGGGCGCTTCGTGGAGGAAGCGGCATTGGAGGCCCGTCTAGGGGTTAGAGACGGGCGAAGACGGCATGGATCCGGGGAGCGGGTACATGGCGGGGTTAGGAAGCTCTTGTTATGATTGGGGTGGAGGAGAACTGTTGTTCGGGGGGTCGGCAAAAGGGGTAGAGCCATCGGAGAGGCTGGGCTCCCCGGCGAGTGGGGGCGGGAGTGAAGCTGGCACTGCCCTTCCCAGCGGCATGGGTTCTAGGATGGACCCGCGTGGAGATGAGCGCGGCTGCCGGCGGGGGTGGGGGGCTTCCCAGTAGGGTAGTAAATCAGAGACATCTTCCTGTTGGGGGTAGAAAGCATTGTCTCCCTGTTTGAGGTACTTTTCTTCTTTTTTTCATCCTCACCTGAGATTTTTTTCCATTGCGTTTTCAGAAAGAGGAAGGGAGGGAGGGGGAGAGAGAGATCATGTGAGACACATGGACTGATGATCGGTTGCCGCCCCCCCTCCCCAATGCGCCCCGAGGAGGGGGAGGGAGGGGAAGCCTTCGGTTCTCCAGTGGATGCGGCGCTCTAACCACTGAACACCACCGGCCAGGGTTCCCTGTTTGAGTCACAGGGTGTGCACACATCCCCTGCAGGCCATCCCAACTCCAATTTCAGTTAAGGTTTCCGGTTATTGTCACACCCGTGTCCCATCATTTTATTTGGGAAGCACAGAACCTCCAGTTTCACAGGCTCAGGTTCATAGCTGCAGAAGCATTGTGCCTCAGAGCACATTGTACCCCTTAGGTCTCACTCAGATCTGATTTGGATCAGACTTTGGACTGCAGACTTTTGAGCTAATGCTGTCATGGGTCAAGACTGGGACTGATAGGATGGAATGCATGTAGTTTGAATACAAGAAAGGCATGAATGGGTGTGTATGAGTTGTTATAGACTGAATGTTTGTATCCTCTCAAACTAATATGTTGTCCTAATACCTACCGTGGCTATATTTGGAGATGGGGCCCCTATGAAAGTTAAATGGTGTTATGAAAATGGGGCTTTGATCCAGTAAGTTTAATGTCCATATAAGAGACACCAGAAAACTATCTCTTTCTCAGTGCAAATTAAGAAAAGGCCATTTGTCAACACGGCGAGAAGGCAGCTGTCTGCAAGCCAGGAGGATCCTCACCAGGTGCTAAATCTGCTGGAACCTTGATTCTGGACTTCTAGCCTCCAGAACTGTGAGAAAATAATTCTGTTATTTAAACTATCCCCTCTGTGGTATGTGTTATGGCAGCCAGATAGAGAAGTGAATTACATTGCTTAGAAAATTAGCCCTAGCCGGTTTGGCTCAGTGGATAGAGTATCATCAGTCCTGGTTTGATTCTGGTCATAATGGTCACGTAGGCTTTATATATATAGATAGTAATCAATCCTCTACTTTTTTAATCCAATGGAATAGTTTTATAACAGTTTACACAGTTATAATAATGTCATTGTTTGCTCATTGGGGTTTTAGGCCAGTTATTTTGGTTAATTATATATTTTCCTGCTTTTATGAATGCCAGACAATATAGAGATCTAGTATATAGAGGTTAACAAAAGTTCCTTACCTTTGTAAAGTTTATGGTCTATAACTTATACTCAAGACCTTATACTTGAGCATAAATTTAGGAAGTTATTTGTTGTAATATGATTTGTATTGAAACTGATAAAGTGAATATTTATGCATGACCTAGATCTTTATATATTCCATATCTAAATCTTTAAGAGAACAATTGAGATGTTCTGTACAAGTTATTATAATGGTTTTTACATCATGAATTGATTTTTAAAAATCACCCATTTACACCCTAGCCGGTTTGGCTCAATGGACAGAGCATTGGCCTGCATACTGAAGGGGTCCCAGGTTCGAGTCTGATCAAGGGTACATGCCTGGGTTGTGGGTTCGATCCCCAGTAGGGGGCATGCAGGAGGCAGCCAATCAATAATTCCCTCTCATCATTGATGTTTCTATCTCTTTCTCCTGCTCCCTTCCTCTCTGATATAAAAACACACCTATTTACAATGCCATTAGTATCCTTCATCTACCGACAGACCTCCACTCTAGCTTCTTTTTTGGTGCATGGAACAACACCCAACCAATTGAGCCACACCAGCCAGGACACTCTAGCTTCTTCTTAAGAGCTCTTGCTCTGAACCTTATGGTACATCAGTTGTTTGCCATCCTCTACCGACATCCCTGCTGACAGTCCTATAATTATACAGATCAGATTCTGAAAATATCTGCCAGACTGGTCAAAAGCCTGTTTTATTCCAGTCTAGAACTAGATTCAGCTCACTCATCTAGAGCTCCTTTGTCTACTCCTGACCCAATCCAGTCTCTAGTCCGACATACCACACCAAGGTTAATTCTCCGATGAAGATCTTTTGTCTTCCTCATATGACACCAGGATGTATAAGACTCTGGTCCCTCTGAGTTGAGGAAATGAAAGCAGATGTGAGGTAGAATGTTGGGGTGATTCCATGAGAGGCAGAGAAGAGGTTAGACAAGAAACTGCCTTCACAAGGAAGACTGCAGCTGGATAATTATCCAGAAATTGAGAACCTCATATTTGCAGGATTCTGAGTAGTAATTTGAATAATTATGGAAGGGGGAGAGCTAGGATACAGTCAAGTAGACTCATCTAAAATTCTGTATTATAATTGCCTTATCATTATCTTTTTTGTTTTCCAAAAATTACCAAGAGCTGTGTTGGAATATATTTTGCTAGTTATAAGTTTAAATAAATAATTGTCCTTTGGGCTTTCAATTCAGTTTGCAAACCTGATTTCTCTATCATTCAAGTCTAGAAAATTCTTAAAATTTTATTTGTGGTGATACTTGGTCTTATTTATAAATTGACAGTAAACTCATCTAAGGACATTAAGTTACATTTATGAATTTAATCGTTTATTTTCTGAAGGACTTTAGTTGTCTGAAATATTTAAATAAAGCGAGAGAAATGCAATAGCTAATCATCAAATAATGGGTGTTTATTGGAAATAATTGTTTTAAAGGAAAAGAATCTACAAATGGAGAAGTGAATATGTGATGATGTTAACCAATGATGTGGGGTAGAGACTATCTCCTTTAAGTTATAGAATCATTTAACATAGTAACTAGGAATATGGTTCAAGGTATCCTGTCCAAAAATATTCATCAGGTGTATTATGTAATATATGATGAACTTGAACTTCAAATATTCTTCATTTTCACAGGCCTTCTTTGATTTACAAGGACTTCAATATTTTGTTAAAGGTGTTCCACATTTAGTGTGTTCACGGCATTTTATTTCTACATGATTTTACCTGCTAACAGATGAGGCAGAATGCCCTGCTGAAAACCTGCACATTCACTGCCTTCCAACAGACTCTCTCCAGAATATGCTGACATCTATGGAGGGCAAGAACATTCGCTCTGTCACATTTCTACCCACTATGAGCTCACTGATGATCTATGGTGATCACTGGTGATAGATAAGGTCTATCTTCCTAAAAACAGCTTTCCTACCCTCTGCATTCACAGGCTTTCTATTGACCCATAATCATATAATCAGCTAGATATTATTGCTCAAGGATTTCCAAATTGAATGTACCAGTTTTTTCCTGTGTGTTTTTTGTGACATAAGATATAACTGACCATAGAAGGCATAACCACATTCACTTCATTCATAACATTCGTTTCCTGTATGAACTCTCTGTTATCTCCTGAGGGTGCATGTCCGGCAGTTGGCTATTCCACAGTGACTCCATTTCTATCTACTAGGAGCCCCCTGATGTTTAATGATGTGTGAGGAGTCACAGTCACCAAATTAACAAGCTTTTCCTTCTGCATGAGTTCACTCGTATCTAATAAGCTGTGACTACTTGTGGGAAGATATTCCACCTTCAATGAATCTATATGTTTCTCTCTTACACATGTCCTCTTATGTTTCACCAGGCATGACATGTGGGTAAAAGCTTTCCCACACTCATCGTATCCAGGAGGTCTCTCTCTCATATGAGTTCTCTGATGGACAATGAGCACTGTCTTTGTGGTGAAGGCTTTCCCACACTCTCTGCACCTACAGGGTTTTTCTCCTGTGTGAATTCTCTGATGTTTGATGAGTCCTGATTTCTGCGAACAGGACTTTCCACATTGGGTACATACAAAGGGAGTCTTGACCGTGTGAAACCGCTGATGTGCAATGAGACATGCCTTCTGGCTGAAGGCCTTCCCGCATTCAGTGTAGCCATAGGGTTTCTCTTCAGTGTGAGTCCACTGATAGATAATAAGATTGCCCTTCTGAACGAAACCTTTCCCACAGTTACTGCATAGATATGGTTTCTCTCCTGTGTGAGCTTTCTGATGTGGAATGAGCTGTGGCTTTCTGGAGAAACCTTTCCCACATTCACTGCATTCATAGGGTTTTTCTCTTCTTTCATTTCTCTGATGTTTGTTAAGCTCTGCCTTTCTGCAAAAGATTTGGCCACATTCAGAGCATTCATAAGGTTTCTCTCCTGTGTGTCTTCTCTGGTGTTTAGTTAGCCTAAACTTTCTGGAGAATGCTTCCCCACACATCCTGCACACATGGGGTTTAGTTCCCATTTGACTCTTTTGATGTTCAGTAAGTTGAAATCTCCTGAGAAAGGCTTTCCTACACTCGCTGCATGCATGAGGTTTGCACGCATGAGGTTTCTCTCCACTGTGAGCATGCTGATGTTCAGTGAGCTTGAAATTCTTGGAAAAGGTTTTCCCACAGACACTGCATCCATGGGGTTTCTTTCCTGTATGAATTCTCTTATGTTCCATGAGCTGAGGCTTCTTGAGGATGGCTTTCCCACTTTCAGTATATTCATAGGTATTCTCTATTCTGTTTCCTGAATTTTAAGAGATTGTGACTTAGTCCTGATGGGCTTGCTACTTTTGTAGAATTTCATTTCAGTATGAGTTTGCTCATGATTTGCATGGAGAAAGGATCGTCCATCTCCATTAAACTCAGCAGCCTCCCTTATGTCACAGCTTCTACTCTGGTAGATTAAATCTAAGATTTCAAAGTTTTCCCATCTAAATCAAACATATCGTTTGGCCTTAAAGGAAAATGACTTTTGCTCTGCAGAACAATACTTCCAGATGCATGCTGTTCCATTGCCTTCAGCATATTTTAGTTTTGCAAGTGCCACTGCAGATGATCAACTTCCTCAATTTCTAGGAAAGAAGAGAACCATGAATGCTTCCATGAGCATCATATGGAATAAAGCTTCTGCAAAAACACCTTAGGAGGGCTGACGCTTTAGTAGAAAACGTATGGTATTAATATAGAAGTTCTAAGTATAAATGTGCCTAATCTTTTTTTTTTTTAACTTCTAGTTAAATATACATAAGATAGACCTCGCTGGTTTGGTTCAGTGGATAGAGCGTCGGTCTGCAGATTGAAGGGTCCCAGGTTCGATTCTGGTCAAGGGCACATGCTTGGGCTGTGGGCTCGATCCCCAGTGGGAGGTGTATAGGAGGCAGCCGATCAATGATTCTCTCTCATCATTGATGTTTTCTATCTCTCTCTCCCTTTCCCTCTCTGAAATCAATAAAAATATATTTAATAACATATCTTCTATATATATAAAAGCCCAGCGACCAAATGGCAGGATGACCGGTCGCTATGACATGCACTGCGGCAGCCAACCAGCCTGATCCAGGCCCTGATAGGCCTCCCCCTGGCTGGCCCCGCCCTCAATTGCCTCCCCCTACCCCCCGATCGGGGGCAGGCCTGGCCAGCCAACCGCTTGTGGCTGGCCAACCTCCTGGAGTCCCTCCCCTGGGCCAGCCCCCACCCTCGCCCCAATAGCCCTTGATCTCTGGCCAGGCCAAGGGACCCTACCCATGCATGAATTCGTGCACTGGGCCTCTAATGTATACATAAGATAAAATAGACCATTTTAACCATCTGAAAGTGTACAGTGCTGTGGCATTATGTACATTCACGTGTTTTTTTTTAAATATGTACATTCACTTTATTGTACAACCAGTGCCACCATCCATCTCTGGAACGAGTTCACCCTTTCCAACTGAAAACTTCTGTACCAAGCCCTAGCCAGTTTGGCTCAGTGGATACAGTGTCAGCCTGAGGACTGAAAGGTGCTGGTTTCAATTCCAGTCATGGGAGGGGAGGTGACATCTAAGAAGAAATAAGGCTAACCCGAGCCACTCCAATCCGTGACCATTCCCGGGCCCGCACCATTTCTCACCATCCTGCCCCTCAATCATGGAATGCATCCCCCACCCTACAATGGCGTGCTCCTCTAAAGAGCTCCTCACAGGCCTCCCCTACCACAAACCCCAAATCTCCACACAAACCCTAAACACCAAACTGAGACATGAGACAGACAGACAGACACACACACACACACACACACACACACACTGGGTGGGAAGGGCCATGGTCCCTCACTTCCGCCTCACACTCACCTCACTGGTCAGGTTTAACTTCTGTGACATCAGAGTCTGCAGGCTGCCAACCACCCTCTGGGCGACCTTCCAAGACGAAGATTCTGCTCCGCTTTTAGGGCTTTGAGACGAAGACACTACGACGAAGTATGGCGGCGCCCCTTAGGGAACTTTTGTGAGAGCCGCCATCATGGAAGACCTGCCGTACAACCGCCTTTCCTGCACCAGGTGTCCGCGGAACGTCCCTCGTAAGCGTCATGACGCCCATCGTTACGTCACAAGGGGTGACGCAGCTTTTCTAACCCGTCTCCACGGAACCGCGTCCCATCACATTTCCGCGAAGCGCAGGAGGATAAACATGGCCGCCTCCGCTTTCTGCTGGTTCGTACAGAGGCTCCCCCACGGCCCCCTCCCCACACACACACCCGCACGCACTTTTCAGTGGGCGCAGCCATCTTGGAAAAGGTCACGTGTCCGTACAGGACAAGGAGGCGCCCTTTAGGGAGCTGGGAGCAGGTAGAGCGACTGGCAGGGATGCTTTTGGAGAACAGAATAGGGTTTGGAAAAGCCAAGGAG